CACACAAAAAAAAGAGAAAAAGGCCCACAAAAAAAAAAAAAAATGGAAAAAGCTTTCTATTTAGGACTCCAATGGTACTTTTCTTGGCTTTTTTTTTGCGCCAGGTTCGCAGCTGGCCTTGGTGGGGACACATTAACGATTCTGAGCACAGAAGAGGCACGACAAGACTGTGGCTGTGGGAAAAGTCACTGTCACCCAAGTGTGAAAGGAGAGGAGACGGAGAGGTGACAGGAGCAAGGGACCAGTCAGTGAAGAGGCACAGGAAAGGGCGGAGGGGACTCAGGAGGCAGGGAGAGGGGTGGCGGGGCCAGGAGTCCCTGGGTAGGGTACTGGGCTTGGTGATTCCCTGCAGGGGGCTTCAGCTCCGGAGTGATGTCTTCGGGCTGAGATGTGGGGCAGGCAGAGGGGAGTTGGTGGAGGGGCAGGCGGTGCACCGATGGCCTCGTCCTATTCCAGGCTGTGCAGCCCTCTGCCCCACCCCTGTTCTGGTAAGGGCCTCCTCCTCTGGCCTGGGTGGGCCGCCGTGGTACTTGGAGGTGTGTACGAGTGTCCCAGGACAGGGTAACCAGAGTTCCTCCCTCCCTTGCTGTGTTTCTTCCCCTTGCCCCAGCTGAAGTCTCGATCTGGGAGACGCAAGCCACCCTCCCACCTCATGCGCCACCGCACAAGCTTGGGTGTTCATTTTCCTCTCTCGCCCTGGAAGTGAACCTGCAGCTACCGACTGGCCCCGTTCTGGCCACCCTAAGACACTGGTCTAGAGGATGAAGTCGGCGCGGAGGGAGGTGTTTGGAGCAGTGTGGACAGAGAGCCCTGGAGTTTGGAGATTCCAGCTCCGGGCAGCCTCCAGCTTGACAGGTGCCTTCCTCCTGGAATCGACCAGCAAGTCTCACCCAACCTTTTCTGTTTCCCTTCAGCTGCTCCGGGGTCAGGTTCTGTTGCTTACATCTCCAAGAAGCCCAACCAACACAGAGGCAGCTGCCATGGCAACAGTAGCGAGATATATCCGGGGCCTACATCCGAGTCGTGTCAGGGAGACAAGAGCTGGAGTTCACAAGGTGACGCCCCTCGCCCACCCTCTGCAAAGCCAGCGCCTGCTCCCCTCCTCATCCACACTCCGTTCTTGGAAAGGGAAGCTCCCGCGGCAGCTCTGAGCTTCTTCCTTGTGGGGATCATGAGTATTGGTTGTAAGTATTGTTAACTCTAGTAACTCCATATGTGTTAAGAACAAGGTGACCCCTCGCCCCCCCTCTGCAAAGCCAGCGCCTGCTCCCCTCCTCATCCACACTCCGTTCTTGGAAAGGGAAGCTCCCGCGGCAGCTCTGAGCTTCTTCCTTGTGGGGATCATGAGTATTGGTTGTAAGTATATTG